AAACTATTTCTTTTTTTAAAATTGGGTAACTAGCAATTGGTTCAACTATCACAATTTTTGTTTGTTCTATTATTCTATTGAACACATCTTGAAGAGGAAAACGAGCATTTTTTAATGACATTTTAATCATTTGTAGGTAATTTTCAAATTTGAATGCACTAAATTTGTCCAGTGGTCCATGTATTTTTACAAAATGTGCGATATGAATTAAACCATGTACATTATATGTAATATACTCTTCACCATATAAAAAAGAATATTCTTCAACAAATTGTCTCAATAAATCATTGGCAACATCATTGTAAACCATACATGTATCACCAGATAACAGGAGTCTAATGGCGCAATGTAATAACATAAAGTGTTTGTAGAGCGATTTTTTTAATCTGCCCTTCAGTACAATAGGGCCAGAGTATAACAAAAAAGATCTAAACTCTGTCGCTTTCCAATACTCTAGTTCTTCTAAAGACCGAGGGGAACGACTAAATTCTTTGGGGAAAAATGCTTTAAGACAAATAAGCTCTGAAGAAACTTCATTAGAAATATCATCATTCAAAAATCGAACTGGTTTTTTGCCTTTTTTCCAAAATAACAATAATCTTTTGACAACGCCCAAACATATATTGTGCATATATTCTAATACCACGTTGTCTACTATATTTGTATTAAATTTGGTTAGTGGACAAAAACCTTTATGATAGTCTTCATCGTGTTGATTACGAAATGAAATATTTGTCCGTAAAGAAGAATTTAAGTCAGGAAAAGCCATTCGATTATTTAGAAAAACACCTTCGACAATACATGAATTACAGCTATGGTAGGCATTGTGTCCTTTTACATTCAAAATAAAAGCCTTTGCTGGGGCATCACAAATTATCTGGCTAATATTTAAAAAAAAAGTTTTGTTATTGATAGACATGCCATTGACTAATAATAATTCCATTTCAGAAATGAATGGATTTAAAAAATCAGATATTGAATTTGGTTTTTTGAATTTACCATGGTAAATTCCAACAGGTACAACTATTTTAGATAATTCATGAATATCAATAAATGAAATTAATATAGGCCAAAAATTGGATTTTGAACTTTTTGTTGTAGGAAGACCATCAATATTCAAACTTAATTTAATTATAGAAGTATGTTTAATTTTATCAAAGTATTTAGTTAAGATTGGTGTGATCATGAACTCAATACCTATATGAATATACGATCCTGGTTCTATACTAATAATTTCATGTTTTTTAGGAGTTTTTAATAAGGTTCTCGAATCTTTGGGTAATTTAAGACCTTCTGATCTTAAAATTACTAAAAGCTCATTTACAAAGTTATGTGATACATGGTATTTAGAAATTAACTTTTGCAATTTATTTTCTAATGAAATTTGATCACAATCATTAACATAATTGTCACTTGCAAAATTATCTACAACACATTCAGCAGTAGTATGTACTACTGTAGTACTAGTTGAGTTAGTTTTTGAAAGGCTAATATCTGAACATACGGTCATTCCTGTAGTATCTTCAGACAATGTTGTTACTGGAGTGAAGTTATTTGAGAATTCCTCCTCTGGTTTTGTTGTTACTTCCATGCTGATACAACCCGAGTCCTTTTCGAGTGGATTAGCTGGTTTAATATTTATAGATAGCATAGAACGTTGAAATTGTCTTCTTGACATTGCATGAATTTCTTTTCTTTTTTTCAACTATAGTTAAAACAATAAATTGTATTATTAATAATCAAGAGTGATGCATTTTAATTAAATTGCATAAATTGCATTAAATGCATTTTAATTATGGAGTACATAAGTGAAGCAAGTCTCAAACTAAATATTTGTTTTAATTATTATTATATTTAAATATAATTGTGTAATTGTGCACTAATTAATGTATTCGATGTTAATCTGCTAATAAATAATATAATATAATTATATATCATTTTGGTAACATTTTAGTTAATATGTATTAAGTATTTGTAATGCTCAAGTGTATGTATATTATATTAAAAAATCTGGAAAAATAATCCCTTTAGTAGGCATCTAACATATTATAATTAAAAAGGTTCGTTTGAATCATCTTTTTTATCAACAATTAAATTGTTATTGCTATACTATATCATAAGTGTTCCCACCATTCAATAGAGGGTAAAGTTTAAAAAGTTTATTAGATTACAATTATACACACCATAATTATTATATACGATATAGAGTATTGAATATTATTTAGATGTATTTATTGTTTTCTCTCTTGTGAATCTTTGATTACCATGACGAAACCATTCTTTCACATGTTCTTCGAAAACCACATCAGTATAACTAAAATTAATTCTACCTATTTCTGTGAAAAAAATAAACAAGATTTTTAAAATAAGATACAATAATTTTTGTTTTTAAACAATAACTTTAATTTACCTTTCATTATGTTAATTATTTTAAGATTTTCAAGGCGGAAATTATTTCGAAATCCGGTCCATGAGCATTTTGATGAAAGCTCATTTGTAAATAAGCGTTGTAAAATGCGCTTAACAAAATTTTTAATATTCTTACCGCCAATAGTAGAAATGAAATTTATCTATGAATCAAACATTATATTTATTTATGAGAATAATTTAGAAAAAGAAATTACTAGGATACCATTTTCTTCTCAAACTGCTCATCATTTCTTATTTTTTCATCAATATTTATAATATTTTGAAAGTCACTAATAGGAAATATAGAAAAACTATCATCCAATGATTGTTTATTAGCTGGACTAGTTGATGAATCTACTAAATATTTTTCGATTCTATCCATTCTTCCATCAAGTCGTTTAATATAACTGTAAATATTTCTGAGAAGAATTATTTCAGCAGTTTCTACTAAAAAAGCTCACAAAAAATAAAATTTTAATACCTACACAATTTAAATATTTATTGAAATAGATTAAAAAATAGAAATATTTTATTTATTTAGTAGGTATTCATTACCAGATTCATCTGAAACTATGTTATGATTTACAATATTTGATAAATCCTGCACTGAATGTGCGCTTAGACAAGACAAGTTGAAGTTGTCTTGTTGAGACGTTTCGTTCAAGTTTATTTGTTCACTATAACTTTGATCTATAGAAATAATATTATTAAAAAATTAGTTAAATGATTTTATGATTATTATTTGGTACTGAATAATATGAACCAATAGCATAATGTGTTTAAAGATTGTTAATATAATATTTAAGATAAATTGATGAACACTAAAAAAAAAACAGTAAGGAAAACAGTATGAATTAATAATATTCATTACAGTAGATAATTGACAAATATACTTTCCAGGGTTATCAAATACAGAAATCATTTCACTAATTGTTTTAATACTCTGTGGCATAGATGAAAATATATGTGAATTACTATTGCTTTCATATACATTTGGATTGTTCATGACATTGTGTCCTGATTCGGACATCTGAGAATTGTCATCAATATTTTGAAGTGTATTTATCATATCTGCAAATAATTCATTACTTAATTTAAAATTAAATCCTTTTATATTTTTTATTTTATGCATAAAGATAGAAAGTACATACATGGTATGCTGCAATTATTAATATTGCTATTAGATACAGCTGCTGGCTCACCAGAGCCTATTGTGCAATTTGAGTTCAATACATTTCGGTCTTGATTACGAAGAATACTTTTACTTGGGCTTTTACTGGACGTTTTAGAAGGATTAATAATATGGCCAATTTTTATAGGAGAATCGCAAATGTCTAAAAATTACATTTCATGAGTTAACTTATTTTATTGAATTTATATAAAATAATAAGCATTCATCTACCACTGTCAGTATCTTCATTGTTCTTTTTTAAATCTTTTCTTTTCCTTTTTCCTCGCCCAAGACTTCTTTCAGATTCTGATAAAAATATTTCCCTTTCTTTTTGTATTGCTCTATCATACGAATCTATATATATTTAAAATTATGCTGAATAAAATAAAACAATAAGGTAAATCAAAATCACAATAAAACATACCATAACTTTCACCAATAATATTTACTGGGAAAGATGACCAGTCTACGTTTGGTTCATCTGCTTTTATTATCATTAAAGCAGTAACTCTTTGTTTATTTGGCCATCGACAGAAATCACCCGTACGGGTACTAAAAGTCCAATTACTTGGAATAACAGAATATTTGTTTTCATCTTCAAAAAATCCTATTTTCCACTAAAAATATTAAAATAAAATTAATAATTATGTGCATAGTTTGCCGGTATATCTAAAATTAATTAGTTTAACTGTCAAAGACTAAGACAACTATTTATTTGAGTATTCTTTGTTTTCCTTATAAGTGTTTACTAGATGAGTACCTCGATGAGTACTTAACTTAAAAATCAATGGTTTTCACAAAATTATTTTTCACCATAACTTTTCAAATGTTGAAATAGGTACATACTTAGGTATTGTTTTAAAAAAAAGAAAAACTAATATTTATTTATTTATTTATTTATTTATATATATTTACTTATAATAGCTATTATTCGCTCTACTGTCGCGGTCGTTACCCACCACACGGGTAACGGCCGCTGCGTGCGCTCTGCCCGACCGGTCGTCGGTACGCTCGACCCGGGTCAGAGTGGGGGTGCCCGTGCCGTGGGTGGGGACGGCGGTCTCGACCGACGTCTGCGCCGGTGGCGCGGCGGCGCCTCTGTCTTATTCCTAACGCGTTACGTTATGTACGCCTGTTAACTTATGTTCAATATATAATAAAGTATACATTAACTATAAACATCGTATTGTTATTGAGTGTACCATCTTCCTCTACCACAACCAGGGCACCGTGTCATTTGGCGCAGTCGGTACAGGTTTCAGAACCACGAGGCCAGAAACAGGTAAGGAATTTAAATTACCTATTCATAACCTCCAAAAAATAAAATAAAAACAACACGGGGAATATACCCTCCCTACATAACTAAGATAGCAAGGCAAAATCAATAGTAGTAGGTAGGACCTCCACGTGTTAGTACACGATGCAATCTGGTCAGAAAACACTCAGCGAACTGACAATCGGGGAACTCAAAGGGGAACTAACCAAAAGAGGGTTAGGAACCATGGGCACGAAGTCAGAACTTTACCTAACACTTGAACAATACATTCAGGAAACAGAGGGGGAAAACCCACAAAACTACGTTTTTTACAAAGCGCAACAAAATCCCCCACAACCACCAACAGCCTGGGTGACGGAAACACATCCACCCGGAGGCAGCAAAAATAAGGACCAACAAATCGATACAGAACAACAAAAAACCCAGGACAATAGGAAAACCCAAAATAAAAACGGGGAAAACCCAACATCCACAACTAACTTACTAGAGCGGACACTCGCAGAGATTCTAGACCGACTAGTGAAACTGGAGGCGACAAGCACAAACGAACCGATTCTAGGAGCAATGGAAAGCCTGACAGAGCGAATCAAAAAACTGGAAAAACCCGGAAACGGAAAAAACCCGGAAAATTTCCAGGAAAGTCAAAACAACGAAACCCAAAGAAACCCCCCGGGGCAACACCAAAATCGAGGGGATGAAACCACAACCACCCAATATGATACAATTAACCAAAAAAAAAATGGTTACGACACATATTCCGAGCCACAGGGGTTTACCGGTTTTAATAACAGGGAAAAACCCAACGAGTACTCTACACTGTTCCCAACCCAAGGGACAAGTACAATGGTCACCACAAGTATCACCAACGTAATCACATCAACGACGTGTGCTAACACAAACAGCAGAGAAACAAACCATCCCATACCCGGACACTGGGAAAACCAGAACCACCGAGTGGGTTTCTCCAACACGGAGAACACAATAACCAATGGCCCATATACCGTAACGTACGGGGAAAACCACACACAAAGGGATAATACCCACCAAACAATGATACGGGACTGGCCGGAGGAGTCGAACCTATTACCACGCGAAAACCTGCAGGCAGCAAAAGACGCGCTGCCCGAATACTCGGGGAAAAAAGAAGAGGACCCCACACGCTTCCTGAACACATCAAGGGACGTGCTCTTAGAAGCAAAAATACCACGACAACGATGGGTAAAAGTACTGGCTTCACAACTCAAAGGAGATGCTGGAACATGGTGGGGGAGAATAAGAGCGATCGACCCCACATGGGAAGAATTTCACAGGGAATTCACCAACAAGTTCAACGGACCACAAGTCAGAGCGAAACTGCATACAGAATTGATGGGGTGGAAACAATACTATGGACAACCTACGGGGGACTTTGTATTACAAAAAATCCAACTATTCCGAAGACTGAATACTGGACTGGACGAGGAGAATGCAGTGGAGACCATCATACAACTAATGAGACCAGAACATCAGAACCTAATAAGGGTGCAAAAACCAAAAACATTTATGGAACTCAACGAAGCAACATACACGGTCACAGACCAAACCCAGACAAAAGGGAAATCACACTGGGATAAAACTGAAACCGCAAAACCGGAGTTAAGCACACCACAACAAAACAGGCAAAGAGAATTCTGGAATACCACGAAGTCGGGAAACGGGAAAATGGTCGGGGAAAACCCACCGACCAAAAAATAAAAAACCCAACACAACAACTAGAAAACAACGAACACGGACGTGGGGAAAACCCCCACGCCATAAACAGCAAAAACAAAAACCAAGGCAAAACAGAAACCAAAATACTAGCGGTCACAACAACGGAACACCAGCAACAAACCACACCGATTAATACCCGAAACACCGGATCAGAGTCACAAAGAGAGCTAACACCAGCAGACAGGCCAACGCCAGCAGTGGAAATGGAATTCCCAGATGGAATTGTCATCGCTTTGCTGGACTCACAAGCGGAAAAAACGTATGTACGACCATGGATAGCCGAGAAATACGGAAAACAGGTAAACAAACGCAAAACCACCGTAAGAATGGCCGACGGACGCACCCAGGAAACCGACGGAAAATGCCGGTAGAGGCGAAAATCGCTACACTAGAGCTGACATTCGAAGCGGAAGTGCTAAGAGAACTGGTAACAGACATCTTGATAGGCCATGACTTCCTAATGCAACAACAAGCAGCATGGGACTACCACGCAGCCACAATCCACTTAGGTTCCGAGAAACGAACAACGGTCAGCTGGCGTAGACAACCAAGCCCGACAAAAGAAAAACCCGACCTCACAGAACTAGAAATCCTGAACGGACCAGAGGAGGATGCAATCCGGGAAATACTAGGGAAATACCCAGCGGTGTTCAGCAACACCGTAGGTAGAACACGGGTTGTAGAACATGGAATACGACTGACAAACGGAAAACCGGTAGCCCTAAACTCATATCCATACAGCAAGGAAAAAACGGACCTAATATCAAGTATGATTCGCGACATGGAGGAACAAGGGATGATAGAACCAAGCATCTCCCCGTGGGCAGCACCAATCGTCCTAACATCAAAAAAAGACGGATCGAAAAGACTTTGCGTCGACTACAGACGCCTAAACCTACAAACAGAGTCGGACGCACACCCCATACCGGACCTACATGAAATGGTCCGAGGGATGGGCGGCACGAAAATATTCAGCACACTAGACCTAAAATCCGGTTACTGGCAGGTAAGTCTAACACCAGAAAGCAGACCACTAACAGCGTTCCGCACGCCAAGGGGCCTGTACCAATTTAAAGTGATGCCATTTGGACTAAAGGGAGCTCCCGCAACGTTCTGCCGACTCGGAAACGAGGTATTCCGCGGCTACATCGGGGATTTCGTCCAAATATATTTAGACGACATCGTGGTATACTCCAAAAACATAGAGGACCACAAGGGACACCTACAGAAGGTACTAGAACGATTACAACGATACGGACTAACATGCCAACCAAAAAAATGTAAAATAGGGCTACCAAAAATACACTTCCTAGGTCACGTAGTAGACGGAGACGGAATAGATAAGGAAATCGACAAACTGGAATTCATAAAAAAATTCCCAACGCCAAAAAATGTAAAAGACATACAACGATTCCTAGGGATATGCGGATGGTACAACCAGTTCGTGAAAAACTACTCAGACATTGCAACACCCCTCACCAATGTGCTAGCGAAAGGAAACACGTGGAAATGGACAACACGGGAAGAACAGGCATTCGTCAAACTCAAAGAAGCAGTAACACAAGCGCCGAGGCTATCCCCACCAGACTACACGAAACCATTCGTGCTGCAAACAGACGCAAGCGAAATAGGGGTAGGAGCCGTGCTATTCCAAAGAGGAGAAACCCCCATAAATAGACACATAATTAGCCATGCAAGTAAAAAACTGAACACAGCACAAACCAACTACCCAGCAGTGGAACGGGAATGCCTGGCGATAATATGGGCGGTAGATAAATACCGACCATACCTAGAGTCGGGACATTTCGAACTACTCACGGACAATGCAGCACTAAAATGGCTGGAAACAGCAAAACACAGCAACAAAAAATTACTACACTGGGCAATGCAATTGGAACCATACAACTACACGGTTAAACACGTGCCGGGAACCGAAAACGAAGCAGCGGACGCCTTATCAAGGAACCCACCTGAGGGGACGGAAGTCAACGAGGAGCTGCTGGAAAATAACGTAATCGAACCACCAACCGGAAAGGAAACTCCACAAAAACAACAACACACAATTGGATCAATCACAGGAACCACCACGAACGGGGAATCCCACATCACGCGGGACAAAATAAAGAGGTGGCAACAAGATGACAAACAAATACACCGAATAATTGAAGAGCTACAAACACAAAAACCCAACGGAAACACTGGAAGGAAAAACCAGATATACGAAATGGACGATGGAATCCTCCACAAAAAAACGGCAAACGGGGAATTCCCAATGGTAATACCCAGATCAGCAGCGAACCACGTGCTGTGGAAATACCACAACCACCCGCTGGTAAACCACCCGGGAGGGAAGGAAACCTACAGATCGATCAAAGGGAAATACTGGTGGAAAAACAGTAGATTCGAAACGTCCCAATACGTCAGAGACTGCCACATCTGCGCATGCACCAAACCGGTAAATGCGAAACCAGAGGACATAATGACGACAAGAATACCGAGGCAACCCTGGGAAGTACTAAGCGTAGACTTGATGGGCCCCTACCCAAGAACAGCGAGGGGAAAAACGCAAATACTAGTTGTCACGGACTGCTTCAGCAGATGGGTGGAGGCCTACCCAATTGGGACAGCAACCACAAGAATTATAGTCGAAACAATCGAAAAAGAATTCTGTTCACGTTACGGATACCCACGCGTTATACTATCAGATAACGGACCACAGTTCGTATCAAAACTAATGAAGGATACACTAACCAAATGGGGAACCGAAGCATGGACAACCCCAATATACCATCCACGGGCAAACCCAGTAGAACGGCGAAACCAAGAAATCAAAAAAGGCTTACGAACACAACTACTGGGGAAACCCCATAGGACATGGGACGGGCTCTTACCATCGATAATGTTCGCCATACGAAACAGGAAAAACCAAAACACAGGTCACTCTCCCACCGAATTGGTACTAGGCAAAGAAGCCAAGGCACCAGGGGACTGGTTCCTCCAGGGGGGGGGAGGGAGTCAGGAGGAAATTCCCGGACCGGGAAAACCCCTAACTGAGAAAACACACCGACAAACGGGTAGTCCCAGACACAAAGTAGGTGACTGGGTCTACTACCGGAACCACCCACAATCCAAGGGGGACCAAGGCTTCCACGCAGGCTTCGCCCCAAAATGGCTGGGACCAATTAGGCTGAAGAGATACTTGGGAGCCGGGGTATTCATCACTGAATCTAACCCCGAACACAAACTACATAGTTCGTGCTTTAAACGCACGAGGGACCCTAATAGCGAACTCATTACTATCACAGATGGCAGGCCAGAATCCGCAGCGGGCGGACCCGGGAAGACGGTTCAACCTGAACAACTCCGATTATCGACCCGGCAGGTCAACGGTGGCCGACATCGTACAGGAGCTACTGGACGGCGCCGCAACCAACTTGGTAATGGCCAGGCGCATGGCCGGGCGGGCCGCGGGAATCCCCATGTGGGAGGAACTGACCAGAACCTGGGAGATGAGGAACCACCGGTCCATTATCAAGAGTACAGCGACCCAGACCTCAGGACCCGAGGAGATAGGAGGCGCCGTGACGTCGCGAGGGACGCAAACCGATCCGCCCACAACCGCCGAACCAGGACAGGTGGGGAGGTGGGCCGTAGCGGCAACCGCCGCGGAACTGGTGGCTCACGCAGCGGTGCAGGTAGCACTGGATCGAGGGGTAGTCACCCAACCGATAACGACGAGCCGGACGTCCAGGAGCGTCAGGCGGACCACGTACAGCGCCCGACTCCGATCGCCACAACGGGCCAGGACCCACACCGCAGCCGAGGCAGTGGGCAAATGGTTACCGATGTTTCCTCCCGAGTTCCAGGAGGACACCGCCCCGAGAAGGACAAGAAGCGTCCAGACCAAGGCGCAGCGGAAAGCAGTCTCTCAACCGCCAACCCCCAAACCGGAGCCCGAGAAGGAAGAGGTCGAACCAGTGCTGCAGCTCAGCGTGCTCGACGGAGACCTCCCGGACATCGACCTCCTGATGGGCGAAATCATGAGCGACTAAGCACTCACCCCGAAGGGTCCCGCGGACGCGCCGACCGGTCTGGGGGGGGAGCATGTCGCGGTCGTTACCCACCACACGGGTAACGGCCGCTGCGTGCGCTCTGCCCGACCGGTCGTCGGTACGCTCGACCCGGGTCAGAGTGGGGGTGCCCGTGCCGTGGGTGGGGACGGCGGTCTCGACCGACGTCTGCGCCGGTGGCGCGGCGGCGCCTCTGTCTTATTCCTAACGCGTTACGTTATGTACGCCTGTTAACTTATGTTCAATATATAATAAAGTATACATTAACTATAAACATCGTATTGTTATTGAGTGTACCATCTTCCTCTACCACAACCAGGGCACCGTGTCACTACCTATAACTTTTATTTGAATCGTACCTAGGTATTTTAAAAGGTTTTTATATGCAGGGTTGTAATATATTAATTAGGTAGGTATCTACTTGGTATACCTATACTCAGATTCATGCAATAATGGATAGGTGTCAATAGGTATGCAGAGGCTAGAGAGGACTGATTCAGTAAAAGAATCTGTAGAAGACCTAGGTGTATATTGATTACTGATTAGGTATTAAGTATTAAATAATATGTAAAAACATTTTAGTTATGACAGTTGCCCCAATTCAGTGTCTTTATGAGGAGGGACAGTGACGTATGGATTGCTCTTTCCTTGGACATTTTATTTTATATATACCTATTTCACTTTACATAATTTTTCAATACTTCCATCACTCTACTTCGAGGTGTAAAGGCCTCTTCTGAAATGAGGAAATTAACCTATACCTGTGTTAACGTCACCATACACTGCAGTGGTGGCAGTAAAATTCTATTGTCTTGGCAATTGTGCCAGGCTTCATTTTATATCTATAGCTGCAGTGTGTGGTGACGAGGACCTTTACATGTATGATTTAAAATATTATCTAATATGATTTTT